GGTGAAACAATGCATCTTTTACCAGTGAAAACAGAATAAATGGGCCCCTGAAGGTTTTATCTAAAGTCAGATGCATTTGTCATTCTATATTGATAATCTTTGCACTTCATTATCATATTCAACTCACCATTTATATGCAGATGACACAATCATTTATGGTAATAGATTATACTAGAAGAAAGCTTAATATTATCTTCAAGCTGATTTAAATGAGCTTTTAGATCATCTGGCACAATTTAAATTACTATTAAATATTAATGAAACAAAGATCATATTATTTGGCTGAAAACAGAAGTTGGGTAAACTGAACAACTGGCAAGCAATGTGACCTTGGAGACAGTTAGCAAATGTCAATTGTGAAGAATATGGATACATCATTTTTCATCATATGACTGAACTATTGATTAGCTGTGAAAGTTTGAAAGAAAGCCAAGAACTTTATTTGGGCTCAGAAAATATGTTGACTGAGGGGGAAAGAAAAGATTTGTTTTCTTACATTTTCAGTTTGTATTATGTACTTTGGATTTTGCTGATTGCTGCATAATGTTTGTTCGGAAGGATAAAGCATCTTTAACTTGGCTATCTAGGCAAATTTGCTTTGAATTATACATTTCATAAACATCACCGTCTGTCATTTTAGCAACAATTGGCAAAAAAATAGAAAACTGTCAATATTTCATTCGTGCATTATCCTTCTAGCCTCTCCCTCCTCCCATCCCCTGTCTTCAGATAACTTACAATTTTCAGTCTTTCACATTTTCTGAAATAGAAAAATTAATAAGAAAAGTGGTATCTCTCCTTTTTCAGTTGGAACCATACACCTGTGAATTTGATAAAGTGAGTCAGGAGATTCAGGTGCATGCAATATTTTGAATGTGTTTATTTTTACATAGGTCTGATCCTGTGAAGTCCTGAGTATGTCCTAGCAAATGCAGATGATTTCAGTGGCAGTGATTGTCAGTTCCCAAGATGACAGATAAGGGTCTTGGTACTTTCCAGGAGATGTTCTCTTTGTTAGAGTCACAAGCTTATAATCCCACAGTGAAAAAGCAAAAGAAGACCCCCTTCATTTAAACACTTGAAATCCACCTCTTCTTTTGTGTAGCAAGATATGTCACATTTAATACATCCATTGTACCAGAAATGCTAACTCTTTTGATATTATAATCAATCTCATGATATGAGATATTGTTGTTACCCTCTTTCTGTACTAGGTATGATCAAGAGCAACATGGAAATATGTCAGAGAATCTATCATTGCCTCTTAAGATTTTGCTAAGCTGCAGTAAGTCACAGAATCACAGAATGGCCAAGGTTAGAAGGGACCTCTGGAGATCATCTAGTCCAACCCCCCTGCTCCAGCACGGTCATCTAGAGCACATTGCACAAGATCATGTCTAGGCAGGTTTTGAATATCTCCAGGAAAGGAGACACCACAACCTCTCTGGGCAGCCTGTTCCAGTGCTCTGTCACCCTCACAGTAAAGAAGTTTTTCCTCATGTTCAGACAGAACTGCCTGTGTTGCAGTTTGTGCCCGTTTCCTCTTCTCCTGTCGCTGGGCACCACGGAGAAGAGTGTGGCCCCATCCTCTGGACACCCTCCCTTCAGATACTTGTACACATTCATGAGATCCCCTCTCAGTCTTCTCTTCTCCAGGCTCAACAGGCCCAGCTCTCTCAGCCTTTCCTCACAGGACAGATGTCTTCCAGTCCCCTCATCATCTTCGTAGCCCTCCGCTAGACTCGCTCCAGCAGTGCCATGTCTCTCTTGCACTGGGGAGCCCAGAATTGGACACAGTACTCCAGGTGAGGCCTTCCCCAGGGCTGAGTAGAGGGGCAGGATCACCTCCCTCAACCTGCTGGCAGCACTCTTCCTAATGCGACCAAAGCTGGGTGCTGTTTGCTTTCAACCTTTGCATTCAGGAGAGGAATCACAGCCATTTGGTTGACTGCCATCTGAATCTTTGCTACCCTTTGCTACCTAGTTAGAGAGGCTTCCACATAGTGTTGAAGGTGAGGGAAGGGAAGGGCAAGAAAATATGCAGGAAAAGAGGAGAAAGCAGCCATTTGACTTATTTATTTGGGAATAGGACAGGTTTAGATGGCAGAGCAGCTGTGGAACTGTAGGCTAGGGTATAAAACTGTAAGTTAAACAGGATAGTGAGGGCCAGAATAATCTGATGGGTCTGGGGAAGTCATTGTAGAAAATCTTGTCTATGTAGGAGTCAGAAGAATCTAGATGAGTGGAGGGATAGGGACTCTCTGGGAGCAAGGGAATAAGGGATAAAGAGGAAGAAGAGAGAAGGAAACAGCAGTAAAGTGGAATATAAGGGTGAGAGGAAATGAGGCCTGGGGGAAATGGTTTGTTGCCAAGATTGCCAAATTCAGGCCTAAAGGAGGAATTCATGTCCCTTGGATGGCAAGCTGGGACAATGAATGTCATACAGGACAATTTGATGTCTAGTTCATTAGCTTATCTATCCAACTCATCTTCAGCATGGGGCAAACGATCTGGATAAGATCTGCAGAAATTGTGGATGGAGGAAAGAGAAGGGGAGAGGTATAAGTTTATATCTGTTCTTTTACTGCAGGGAGGAGGAGGAGGAGACTTGTCCTTTATTTATATGTTTGAAGTTATTTTGTAATTCAGAGTTGGAATGACATGTGTTTCAAGTGTAGATGCCTTCCCTAGGAGATAAAGTAATCAGGCAGACTTCTTTCAGAATTACTGGTGAATTGTTTTTAGAATTAACCTTACAACTAATTTGAAGAACTAATTCTGTAACTCTGATCTTTAAATTTCTTGGTTGAGCAACAGTTTTCCCAATCTGCCTAGATCTGTCCTAAGTAGACACTTCAATGAATGTTCTTGTCCCTTTGTGCCACCAGCGCTCTTCAAAAGGGCAGGAATGTCCCAAGAAGGAGCCCTGCTCTGAACAACAAAGCCATACTTTTACATCATCAGTAAAAACCTTTTTCTATATTTTAATCACATCAGGAGGAGGCCCTTTTGAGCCTGTGCCTGTTACTTGGCGATAATATAAGGTTCCCAATGAATAGAGACTAATATTCTTTCACATGATTAATATTTCCCTTACTCTATAGATAAGAAGCAGCGCATGTTACAGTCACAGATGCTTGGGAGTGCTGCTGCAAGTTCATTAAAGAATGAGTTCTGACTTTTGTTGTGTGGGTTTGCCAGCCCCGTGGCTGCTGGATTGGTACGCTTCCTCCCACTGTCTCATTACTTACTTCCAGAGAGTGATTGCACTGTGTTACATCTCCCAGGTCATTCCAGCTACATTTTCTTTCAGTGGGCTGACCTGCACTGTGGAAAGGTTTTCTGTCTAGCCCCTGTCTGGGGACAGGAGATTGGCTTCTTCTTACTGAGGGGAACCCTCCCAAGCACCTTTCTGAGTCAGTTTCTGTTCTTGTGTTTTAAAAAGATGTTCCCTTCACTTCTTGGTGAATCTGAGGTCACCCTCAACCTATCTTTTCTTCTGATTTGAGAAATTATGCTCCATTATACGCCACTTAGAAGTCCACTGCTGTATTAGCCAGTCAACTGTGCCATGTTATTCCATGAGCAGAATGCTGTTCTTTAGACTCCATCTGGGCTATGTCTCTCCCCGCCCCCCGTAACCCACTTCACCCATACCTATATTTCTGTTACCTGGCCTATGCTACTCATGTGTCACTATCTCTAATTATTCTAAGCTCTCCTGCGTTTAACAATGTATATTGTTGATTTTCCATTCTCATAACTCTTCCTCAAACGCTGTGATCTCTCTTCACTGGAGGTGCTCTAACCAAGGCTCCCTAAGGCATGTGCTTGCTATTGCCTTGCTACTTCTAGTTTTGTATCTGAAAGAATCCCTTCCTCCCTCAAAGCCCAGCTCCTCATAGAACAGACCTGTCATTACCTTGCTATGTAGCTCGTGAGCCTGATGGAAAGGGGAAGCCCACTTCTAACTTCAGAGTTAATGAAAGCACTGTATTGTATCCTCAAAGCTCAGCCTGGCTCACCATTGCGTATGAGGAGGGTGCAATCCTTGTGTAGCCAGCCTCCTGACCTTTCCATTCAATCCTGGCTTACAGTAAGTGTTGTATACTGCGCATGAATTCCAGAAAAGAAAGAACTTTTGAGGGGGGGGGGGAAGAGGGAGAGTGTCTGGATGGAGTTTTACTGGAACTCACGTGCCTGTCTGTCTCATAGATTTTGAGAAAACACTAGTGCCACTCACTCCTTTATTATGGAGAAAATGGAAACCTTTTCAGACTGAGATGCTTAATATAGGCTCCTTGAATCTATGCTTAGGCATCTAAATAGAAGCAATTTAATTATCAGCAATGGTGAGTGTTCTGGTGATGCAAGTGTGGAAGAAAATGCTTTATGTAAAAAAGTCTTCACTATTAGAAAATGTGACAGTTCAAGAATATTTGTTATTTACAAACAACCAATTAGAAGCAGAGTAATCATTTTCTGGGTCAGATGAGCTTGAATCATCCTTGTCCTCCATGTTTCGTGGGGTTTTTTTGGTGATTTGATGTAAGAGTAGCTTCTGTTATTAATAAATATTTACATCTACTGTTTGGTCCTAACCTTATCATGAGATTGGAACCAGAAAATGAAGCTCTTTGCAAGTTTCTTAGTATCGCGCTTCTATTGCCTGCTTTGTAGAAATGAAAGGTGTACTGCCTTACCACACTGATTCTGACTCTAGCTCTCACAGAAGTTGTGATTCACAAGGCTCCTAGTTTTTATTATAATAGCCCCTGCAATCCTTTCTAAGGAAATAGTGCAAGAGTATAAGAGAAAGGTGAATGAAGTTGATGTATGGTCTGTACATATCTCTATACGTATGTGTGTGTATATATACATCTATACATCCTGAAGAACCTTTTGTTTGTCTGTCTTTGCTTTTTTTCACCTGGGTTCCGGAGAGACTTCCCAGCAGAGCAGCTGCCTGACCCACTTTCATTGTGTCTCCTCTCTGTCAGCCTCTGAAGATTCTCTGGAGAAAGCATGGTGTGGGAGGAAGCGCTCATTTTCACATGCAAACTCTGCTCCATGCAAAAAAGGCAAGTGAGCCAGGATGTCAGATCTAAGCACTGATGAACACATTCTCAGATGTAATTGATGTCATACAAGTTATTGGTATATCAGCCTAAATACAAGTTTTGGTCCCACCCAAAGCTTGGTCACTTAAATGGATTTTTCAGGTGCCTAGGTTTACAAAAAAACTCAGTGTTTTTTTTTTTTGTTAGTGTTACTGAAGCTGTAACTATGAAATGCAGTAGAAAAGTCAAACCATTCAATGGACGACTCTTTGTCCTGTCCGTGTGAATGACAGTCTAGTAAAATACTGTGTTCCATAATCATAATGAAAAATACCGATTTTTTATTTCATTTGGAAAGTGAAAGCAACCTGACGTAGGTTCTGGCAAGTATTAGTTTTAAGTTGTTTCCCTCCTAAACTTTCTGTTTGGCTATGAGCAAGTGCTTTTTTTAAATCATGAAGACTTTGTTTCCATTTTTTTCAATTTCTTCTAAGAACAGCTAATTTCATGCTGCAGCCTTCCCTCATATAAGTAGCGCAATCCATGAGGTTATTTGTATGAGCATGGCCTGCAAGTTAGGATCTCAAAACAGAATACAACCACATCAATCAGAGTTCAAAAAATTAAGATTTTCCTATGCTTTATATTAATACTTTATAGACAAATGCTGTTGTATTCTTTCCGTTAATGCAGAACTCCAGTTAGATAACTATTAGCTAACTTATGTCAGGAGTTGAGGTATGCTTTAGATTAAGTTCGTAATAAGACATCTTATTTAACGCGAATCTTTGTTTCTTGATAATATATTGTGAGCTGTAAATATTTTCTATTCCATGTAGTGCTAGAAAGAGTGAATAATAGTTCTCTCATATTTCCTTCACTTATTTAAAAGTATTCTTTGAGAAGCAGAATTCTGATAGTATTTTGTGTTCTGGAGGGTTTGGGGTAATATTTTGTGTTCTGGAGGGTTTGGGGTTGGTTGTTTCTGAAATTTTTAACAGCAGGTAGAAGATAACTTGTCAACATCATAAAACTTGAAAAAGTGTCAAGGAAGTAACTTTGACAGTTCACAAAAGTTATAAAGAAGACATAAAGGATGTAAAATGTTTCAGTAAGATTTTCAGTCATTTGCTGAAGGCATATACATATATTGACCCTCGTGTTCAAAGGGTCTTTACATAGGCCTTTTATTATTAAGTGAAAATATGCTTGAATTTAATTGCTTCCTTCACGTAACATTGATTTTATGTACTTGAGCTTATAATGATTAACTTTGAAATCTAGCATACCATGTGCAGTTGAGATAAACTTAAATTCAGGTGAAAGAAAAGTGGAATATTTGGTATTCAAATGGGGAGGTAAAACAGATGATACTGATCATACCAGAGAGTGTAGGGCTAAGCGGTATCCTAGGAGTGACAGCACACAGACTGTGGGTGGGGCAGACTTTCTTCTTTCTTCTTCGGAGAAACAGCTGTACTGATTGCTGTGAGCCCAATACAAATATTTGCATTACCCAGCTAAGCAAGAATAACCGGTAGACCAACAGGCTGTATTAATGTAGATTCTTCAAAAGATTTTAAGAGGACCATAGAGGGGTGGTCAAATACCCATAGCTCAGATCCCTAAACTCTTTTCCTGGCTCAGCTGCCTGTGAGACTTTGTATGTGTTACTGCTTCTCTCTTGTGCTTCTGGTTTCCATTTATGGAATGAAACTAATATTTATTTACCTTTTAAAACAGCCTTGGATCCAAAATCACTTGATGTTAATAAGCTGCAAACCTCTGGCAGGTCTCCTTTGTACTTCTGACATCAGAGTCACTCTGGCAAGGACGTAAGGTTGGGGTGACCTGACATGCCCTCGTAGTACTGGAGTACCTTCAAATGCCCTTGTGGTACTGAGAGCTGCTTGTTGGCTGATACATACTATCCACCAATGCATACATATTTAATGCTGAGCAGCCCTGAACCAGCTGTGAGCAAGGGTTAGGGGAAGCTGGGTATGTGAGAGAAGGCAAAGCAAAGGCTGGGGGTGAGCAAGAAGAAGAGAAGTGAAAAATGTGGCCAGTTGAATGAAGGTGAGAGAAGCGGAGACTGCCAGGCAGGCCCTTTTGGAAAAGGGTGTCCTGCATGTGGGGTTTATTCGTGACAACCTGGGCTGCTGCCCTGCCATAAAAGCAAATGCTTAGCGTCCCACAGGAGCTTCCTGCTCTCTTTGGAGAAGCCTTCTGCAGTGCCACCGGCCAGAGATGCTGAATGGCTCCCTGAAGTCATGAGACTTACGTTTCAAACATGATGGCTTTTAAGTAGTACATCAAGCTTTTGATACCTGGTGGTATCTGAGGCTATTTGGGGCCCCAGCTAGGCTTTTTCATACATACCACCCTTTAAAAACAAACCGAGACTCTCAGGGGCCTTACATCCCAGCAAATAGGACTTTGAGGAAGAATGTACAGAGATAAAGGCAGTTGGCAGTACTTGGCTTCAGCTGGCCCCCTCCTCACCCCCAACTACTTCATACTTTTGAGCTACTCGAGCAACGGCTGCTGTGAGTTTGAGCTCTCCGTTCCATGCCAGTGTTGTTGAGTGCAGGTGGAGCAACTCAAGCAGCCATTAATGCAGCTTTCAGATCCTCTGCTAAAAGGCATTATGGAAATGCAAAAGATTATAATGTTAATGTGCTTAAGTATCAGTACCGTTTAAAGTCTCGTATGATAAGTGAATTGATTTCTAATTCTTCTTTCTTTTTCCTACAATATAACAACATTATGTTTCGATGGAAATATTAATTAAATTGAAAAGTTAAAAGTTAATTGCTTCTGTTGATTAGTCCCATTTTCTAAACCAAAACCTTAAATAGTGACAACAGGATCATTCTACAATAACAGGCCATTATGATGTCAAAGATAATATTACTTTTCTAGGCTGTTGCTTAGGAGTGAAGAAAAACAGCAAGAGCTTGTTTACATGCAAATGTCATCTATATAAAAGGTGAGGAAGTGCTTTAAAGAGAAGATATTATTACAAAGGGACAATTTTCTGGTGATTAAAAAAAAAACCAGAGGAAACGTTTTATGGTCGTCAGCAGTCTCTCTATAAATCTGTACCATCAAGCATGTATTGGTGTAAAGAAAGCCTGAGACCCTCAGCCTGCAGACTAAGAAAAAGGGGAAATACAAGCAGTGTGTCAAAGAATTTGCTGTCTGTGCTCTGCAGAAACCAGATGTTTTTACTAGTAATTATTATTATGATAATTCGCGTAAGTAGGAATAAAAAACAGGGCATGATTGTTTACTGCAGCCTGTTTTCCCTAGACGTGCTGGAAAATGAGAAAAAAAATCTCGGAGGTTTTCCTCCTGGTTTAAATGAATAATTTTTTCATTTAACCAGGAGTAAACATGGCAACAAAAATAGTTTTCATACTTATTGCACATTAGCTGTGAATAGACATCATACCCTTTTTTTTCTTCTAGAAAGCCACTGGAGGCTGTTGAGGCACTTTAGAGAAGGTCACTTTGAATTTCTTTTGTACTGCCTTACTGCTCCTGAAATGGGAGCTGAATGGTGGCAAAATTGAAGCAACCAAAGACTGACAAAGAATTAGGAGTAATCTGCCTTGGAAACATAGGAGTCTAGGTATGGTCTTGTCAGGTGAGAATCATGTGCCAGGAATGGATAGTGCAGGAAAGCCGGTTATGGGTCAGAAAAGTATTGCTTCTGTAGATTAATGCAGGATATCCTTTGGATTCTGATCTAGCATCTCTTATCAATTCTGATTTCAAATGCCTACAGAAATTAAGAGTTACAAAATCTTTCTGAGTTCCTGGTGTTTGATTAGGAATTCTTAGTAAGCAGAAACTCACTCTTTTTCTCCTCTTCCTCGCTCCCAAAAGATATGAATAACTACCAGTGGCTTTTTCATAGGGACTAGAGAATAGTGTTAAGCAAGTGTTCAGCAAATATGAATTAAGTTGATCTGTTTAATCTGAAAAGAAAAGTATAGTTTTCAGCTGCTATCCTTACTGTAAGCATTAAGTTGGAGGCTTTGAGAGAGTTAAATAAGTCCTACAGAAAAATTTAAATCCTGAATAGGCTCTGGAGGAGTTTAATCGAACAAGTGCATTACTGGGAGTCTCTTTGACGGTGAGGGTTAATTTATCATCCTGAATCCAATCACTTTATAAAAAGCCAGCGTGGGTTTCATTTGCTTTGATGAGGTTTATTGCAAGATTCCAGAAAATCAATTTTACTGTGAGTCATATTAAACCCAGGGGAATATAAACACTATATGTACTACACATAACTTTTTGTTATTACTTACTGGATCACTGGGGAAATTATACGTTTGCCATGAAGAAGGGTTATGGCTACATTCGTTGTCTTGGGTAACTCCCAGCCTGCCCATCGCAGTGAAATAAAACAAAATGGTAGGGTTCAGAATCAGCACTTAACTTGTCTTCATATAGCCTGAGGTATAGAAACACTCAGCAGTAGTGACTTGATTTTCCAAAGGGTTTTAAATAACTACTATATTGTATACTCTCACTCTATGTTCTTTGGCAAACAAATGGTAAATGTAGGCAATACATATGCTGCCACTGGTTGACCAAGCTCAGGTAATTCTTGCTCCCAGAGCTTCTTGAGATTCAAGGCAGAACTGACAGGCAGTTAACTTTGAAGTGGTCAAGTCTGATCTGCTGGCTTAGTGACTTGGAAGAAAATTTGCAGTTTTTCAAAGACTAGTCATTTCTATTGTGTGATTGCACTCTCTCTAGCTTCCCTCCCTTTTTGTTTTACATGCTTGTTGAATTTTCCATGAATTAGAAAGTGAAAGGAAAACAATTTTGCACAAGAGGATTTTGTTCACTCTGGCTACGGTGGATCAGAAACTCATTTGGACTGAATTGAGAATATGACTTCCTACTGTACACTTACATACCAGTAAGGTCATAAAATCTTTCAATTATTGGTAATTTTTTTCTCTTCATTAGGTCTTTTAGATTATGACCCACTACTTGTA